TGTCAAACCCTGGCCATATATGCCACATATAACAAGCAGTGCAAAGCGATGCAGGGAAGGGGGGGGGGCAAAACAACTAAGTTCTCGCCGCCTTAACCTTGAGTTCGCTGTCCCAATGAGATGCTTCAAAATAGCAACAAAAGGAAGGGGTAGGGGGAACGACGGTCTCTCCAGTAGCAGAGGCATGCCAGGGGTGTGAAATCCGCCCCCCCGGAGGTTTGTGTTGCTCCTAGGCAGAAGCACCTAAGTGTGGTTCACTGATAACGGCCCATACTGGCTGGTCAGTACCAGTCTGGCGCTGACCCAGTAGTCCACGGATCCCCAACCTTTCTGAGCCTGCAGGCGCCTTTGGAATTCTGACGTGGCCCGGTGGGTGCAGCAGTCACGCAATGGCTGCCGCAGGAGGCGGAGCCAGCCACGGAGTGATTGCCACGACGGCTTTTCTCCGGTCACACAGTGACGACTCTTGTGCTGCGGTGGCCGCTGCTGCCAAAGCCGTGTTTTCCAAGAGCCACTCAAACCCTGCCTACCTGGCCCCACCCATTTCCTAGAAACCACCTGGCGGGTGCCAGATAGGTGTCATGGGGTGCCATGGCGCCCACGGGGACTACGTTGGGGACCCCTGCAGGAGTCTTCACGCCTCGGCCACTGCCTTGCATCGACTCTCTGTAAGGCTTTTGGGTCCTTCCTCTTCTTCCTCCCTGCTCAACAGTTTGTGACTGTTACTAGTAAGAAAGTGATATTCCTGCCCTTTGGTGCTCTGAGAGCCAGTTTGATGTAGTGGTTAAGGGCAGTGGACTCTAATCTGGGAGAGCTGGGTTCGATTCCCCACTCCTCCACATGCAGCCAGCTGGGTGACCTTGGGTCAGTTACCAGTTTATTCAGAGCTGTTCTCTCATGAGCAGTCCTGGAAAGAGCTCTCTCAGCCCCACCTACCTCACAGGGTGTCTGTTGCGAGGAGGGGAAGAAGAGAAGAGATTGGATTTATACCCCGCCCTTCATTCCGAGTCTCAAAGCGGCTGACAATCTCCTTTCCCTTCCCCTCCCCACAATAGACACCCTGTGAGGTAGGTGGGGCTGAGAGAGCTCTTTCCAGAATGGCCCTTTCAAGGACAGCTCTGAGAGAACTTGTAACTGACCCAAGGTCACACCAGCACCTGCATGTGGAGGAGTGGGGAATCAAACCCGGTTCTCCCAGATTAGAGTCTGCACACTTAACCAGCACACCAGACTCCTTCGGGTAGTGAAGGGTGGGGCATAAATCCAATCTCTCCTCCTCCTCCTCCTCCTCATGACTTTACAGTTCCTGCCCCTAAGATCTGTGGGGTGTCTCTTTCTCCAGTTCACCCCTCTGCCAACCTGACATGAAGGCTGTTGAGTTTTGATACTCTGGGGGGTGGGGAAGTAACATCAGCCTTTATCGCCAAAGAGACCTTACAATACAGTCCTTTGCAGAGCAAAGCTGCTTCTCCCCACTGAGATGAACGGGTTTAGGCTGTGGTCACTCTACGTAGGACGCATCTCCGATCTATTGAGTTGGCCAGACAGGGCTCCATTGATTCCACAGTTGTCCCCGTGCCTCTAATGAGATACTAATCTGAATGTAGAAGGCCCGTGACTGTAGATTTTAGATTATGTGGCCGGGGTAGAATAGGACCTCTGTTTGGTTACAAACTGGTGGGCTGCATCCTGCTGGTTTTCTGTGGACAGGAGGCGGAGGGGCAGGCAGGGGGCCAGTCCTCCCCCAGATCTGCATGGCTTCTCGCCTGAAAAGGGTCCCTTGAGCAGGGAAAGGGTGTGTGACAAATCTAGGAGCCACTAAACCGGGTCCTTTGGAACCCCTAAGATATGGGAGAGATGAGGGATATCCATCGGAGAGGGAAGAAGAAGACAGGTTGAAGCTTCAGCCCTGTAGCCAGAAATTTGGGGTTGGTGGGGCATGGGGAAATTTTGTGGGACAGCCGGGGAGGGAGAGGGCCGGCCACACACCTTACCCAAACTCCAAGTGGTGATTTCGCTGCTTGGAGATCAGGCACGGGCAGTCCCCACGAGAAAAACAGCATTTAAAGGGTTCGGGGAAGGCGTGCGGCTGGCAGCCACCCCTGCTGATCAGCTGGAGGGCCCTTTAAGTCTTGGAGGAGAGGGAGAGGGACGGCTGCAAGAGTTAAAAGACCCTTTCGTTGACCAGCGGGCCACTTGCTCCCGCTGATCAGCTGGAGGGCCCTTTTAATGTCTCGGGAGAGAGGGTGCAGCAGCTGTTGTGGGGCATGCCTCACATTTGAGGGGGCAGAGCCCCGAAATGCCCCGCCGCAGCTATGGGCCTGGCCTGCAGTGTAAAGCGAGGTCCGGGAGGACTTGTGTTTGAAAGAGGCTTATGGATCGCGGCGGAAGCGAAATCTTGGATCGAGGCCACTTCAGTGGCTCGGAACGCAGGTCGAGAAAGACGGTCAGAGGGCAGACAGAAGGTTTTCTGTTGAGCGTCTGGCTGGAAACCCTATTAAGTAGAGATGGAGCAACTCAAGCAGACTGAAGCTGGCTCAGACTCTTAATGAGCTAATTAGTTTATCCCATTAGCGACTGCTAACAGCTTGTAAAAACTCCCGGAGCCGAGTCCTGCTGTGGGCTCGTTCCACCTTCATGCTTTGCTTCCACAGTGTACATTTTGGTGCCACAACTAGCTGGGAGGGGGGGAGCGCATGACAGCGTGCGTTGGCATGGGCTGTGCATAAATCTCTGTTCCCGGGAATCAGCGACCCACCTCCTGAAGTTCAAGATTGAACACCTTTTAGAGCACAATAGCGTGTGTGTGTGATGCACTTCCAACACTCAGAATCTCAGCAGCTCTTGCCGTGCAGGCCTTGGGGAGCAGGTTACTGTTATCTCTGCTTTTGCAGAAGGGTGACTAGGTGAGCCGGTGACTTCATGACTGAGGATCTCCGCTGGTTGATGCAAGACCAGCTCACAGTTATCCTTGAGTGAGCGTCTGTGCTTGACGAGTTCTGATTCATCCTTTTCATCCTACGCATACAATGCGTTGAACTAGCTTTAACTTTGCAAAGGATATTCATTTATATCCTGCTTTTCTCCCACAGAGCTTCCTTCCTTCCTTCCTTCCTTCCTTCCTTCCTTCCTGCCTTCCTGCCTTCCTGCCTTCCTGCCTGCCTGCCTGCCTTCCTGCCTTCCTGCCTTCCTGCCTTCCTGCCTTCCTGCCTTCCTTCCCTCTCTCTTCCTT